GAGTGAGGCTTTTCTCATTCTCAAATTCTATTATGTTACACAAGAGAAAGTCATATATAAAAAAACATAAGGATGCATAACAGACTATGTCAATACTTGAATATACATCAGTGCTTCCCACACATACACGTTACCTAAATGGGCCACCCAGCTATATTAACAGCCGCCCAAGCATATTTTGTGACACTTTTTGTTTTTACTGTTATTATCATTCTTTTACATTTTATTTGTATCTGCCCAATAAAACTAAACATCCGCAAGCGATTAAGTAGTGCAAAATCATCTCTCCTGTACCTGTTTCATACTGTTCATTCTGTGTGCGCGAGAACTGTCAACACTCCCAGAGACAGTCTCACGTGCTCTGCAAACTACAGTGATTCGCACCTTTTTTTGTCCACCGAGGTTTTTAAATCTACTAAAATGTCCCTGATTTGGTTTTGCTTTCTTTTTCTAAGAGTGACAGAGACAATAAATAATTAATTCTTTAATCTAAACGGCTCAGAAAATCTTTACTTAATACTCGGAAAGAATGAAATTACATTTAAATTGGCTACAAAATATTTGTACACTATTGGAAATATGTAATCAACTCACTTGTTGTACTTAAATAATCTACAGATTTTAGTCTTGTATTAATTAGAATTTTTAGAGATTTTTTCTATAAATTTTTTTTCTGTCATTGATTTTTTCGTTTGCTGTCTATTTTATTATATCAATATATTACATATTTTATACATTTAAATTGCTTTGGCAATACTGTACAGAATGTCATGCCAATAGAGCAACCTGTTCTTGAATGAGAGATAGAAGCAGATTTTACCTGTCAGTGGGTGCACATGGCTCCTAAATAGCATAAAAATAAAATAGTTGATTTTTTAAAGCTTATTTCTACATTTTTTTTTTTTACTTTAACCCATTGAAAAGAAAAGTTTAAAATAGATAATAATAAAAATAGTGTTGAAGATAAAGTATGTTTTGTTTGTCGGGTATAGTTAACTATTTATGTGCTGTGTGTGTTTCAATCCGATTACCACTGGCAGTGTATTTCAAACCTGTGGGATGCAGTTTATAAATCCTAGTCAAATCAAACATACAAACAAAATGGGCAGTTTCATTTCAGCCTGAATACATATAAAATGTGTGTGATTGCAAAGATTTTGCATGTATTCTGCCAATTCCTCTCAACTGTAAGTTGACTAAGTTTCAACTTTGATGAACTACTTCTTGCCTTTCTCACATTTCCGCATCACACCAGCAAACACATGCACTCTCAATCACTTCACTTCAAAGATAATCTCAAGAGAGATGAACTGCTCCATACGGCAGTCATGTATACACAGGCTGAATGTGTGCTCCTGCATGCGTGGATATGCCTGTACTGGTGATATTTCATATTGCTCTCTATTCTTGTCACTCCCTGGATGCTTAACTGTCTCACAGAATAATAATCACACTGACTGCTGTAATCCCTACTGTGCACAGAGGTTTCCCTGATATCCCCACTGCGCTAGGCTTCGATGAGCTTTGCTGAGCTGAGCCAACCCCTGCCACACACACACATATGCATGCACGCACACACATTCTTGTCCTCGCCCAGCCTGGATCACTGCTATTAACAACACGGCCCAAGTAATCCTAATTTGTACCTCTAAAGGAAGCTAATCCATTATACAGAAATAACTAATCTGTAAAGAGCAAACACCATTCTTAGGCTGGAAAATCCTGTTAGCGTCTGCTTGATTACCTTACCATTAGACTTCTTGTGCAAGCGCTCTAAGTTCAGTCACATGCCTAACCTCATCAGCCGGGCTAATGTCTGCAGCACTGTTGATTTCAGAAACAAATTGAGTTAATATTTCATGCTGACAGGGTCAGTTTTACTCTACAGGAAAGCCATGGTGTAAATGTGGCCATAGTGAATAATTCAAATACCTGATAAGAGGAAGTGTGGCTGTTTTTAATTTTTTATGATCTCAATATTGCAAAAACGCACTGATCAATGCATGAGTGGGAGAAGTGAGTGAAAGGAAATATGTGGGCAGAACAGTTGGGCTGAGTGGAATAGCATTACAGACAGCTCCAATCGGAGTGGTGCACATCTCACATGACGACAAGCATTATATGATGCAACATATATATCCAGTTGAAGTGATAATTATTACCCCCCCCCATGTTTAAATTTTCCCCAATTTTTTTTCAACACATTTTTTAACATAGTAGTTTTAATACCTCATTTCTAATAACTAAATTCCTATTTATTTTATCTTTGCTATGATGACACTATATAATATGTTACTAGATATTTTTGAAGTGACATTTAAAGGCTTAATTAGGTTAATTAGGTTAACTAGGCAGGTTAGGGTAATTATGCAAGTTATTGTATACCAATGGTTTGTTCTGCTGACTATCGGAAAAAAATAGCTTAAAGGAGCTAATAATAATGACCATAAAATGGTTTTAAATAAATTAAAACTGCTTTTATTCTAACCGAAATAAAACAAATAAGACTTTCACCAGAAGAAAAAATATTAACAGGCATGCTGTGAAAATTTCCTTGCTCTGTTAAACATAATTTGGGAAATATTTATAAAATAAACAAAAATCAAAAGGGGGGGTAAATAGTCTGACTTCAACTGTATTTTTCTTACAAACAGAACTAAATCGAAAGTAACTAACTGAATAGCCTGATAAATTTCAGGGACAAACTCTTAAATTGAGAAACTACACCATATCTGATTTTTAAAGATGTAAAAGACATCAGACAAGTTTTGGGTTAATCTAGGATTAGTGCACCTTGTTCAAACTCTCACCTTTAAAGGTAAGGTGATGGCTTAAAGAGACAGGTCACCTTAAAATGAAAATGCTGTCATTTGCTCACTCTCAAGTTGTCTTAAATGAGTTTCTTTTCTTGAACATTAAGAAGAAAACAAATATTTTTCTTCCCACTAACTGACAAAATCGCAATCTTGATTTGAAACGTTGCAATTAGCTAATCGCAAGAGGCTGCAATGTGAAGTTTATATTCATTCATTTATTTTTCTTTTGGCTTAGTCCCTTTATTCATCAGGGGTCGCCACAGCGGAATGAACCGTCAACTTGTTCAGCATATGTTTTATGCAGTGGATGCCCTTCCAGCCACAGCCCAACACTGAGAAACACCCATACACACTTGCATTCACACACACACGCACACACTATGCCAATTAATCAGAACATGCAAACTCCCAACTGACCCAGCTGGGGCTCAAACCAACAAACTTCTTGCTGTGAGGCAATCGTGCTACTCACTGCGCCACCGTAATGGCATAAAATGTATATGCATTATATAATTCCCCCCACCCAGAGCAACAGAGAGAGATTTACTAGCCAATTGAATGAGTTCACTTTTGTTCTGCCTAACCAGAATTGTGCAGCCGAAATATGCGGAACGCCCACATTACAAAAACAAACAGGAAAGCACGGACAAGTGGGATGATGGCATCTGCCGCTTCAAAAGCATTAATAGACAAATTCATATCAAAGAAAAACAGCATGTCAGTAATATGGGAATATTTTGATTTTAAAGTTACAGACACAGAACAACAATGGGTCATTTGGAAGAGCTGTCGCAGAATTGTTGCCACAGCACAAGGAAATACAACAACCAGCACCAAAAAAAGCAACACAGGCACCAGGTGATAACTAACGCCATGACTCACTACTGTTTGCTTCAGAAGAAAAAGTAGTGTTTAATTTTTGAATGTTTAAAAACAAATTTTAATAAACATTGAAGAAAGTTTATACCTTTTGAAGAATATTGAACTGAAGCTTGACTACAAAATTAAATCGCAAATCAAATCAAAATCGCAAGATCTGTTAAAAAAATTGCAGTTAGATATTTCCCCCCTACTTGCACAGCTCTAGTAAATATACTAAAACAAATGAAAGCAGAAACTTCTCAGGGTACTCAATAGTCTAGACTTGAGTTTGGAACAGCATATCTGTATAAATTATCTTTTTGAAATGGAAAACACCAAACACTAAATCTTGAGCACACATATCCTCAGATTTGATACAATGGCAGAGCAACTCAACATATCTGATATACAGTAAGGTTTTCATTAAATATACAATTTAAATATAACCACACCAGCTGAAATGGACCTACAAATATGCAGGTTTTGATCCGCACTTTGACAACTGTCTGACATATTATGATTCCTAAATGTTGTCAGCTTCATGTCAGTGTCCATCAGTTTCACAACTGAATGCACACAGGTCCAGGTGACTGATGATCACTTCTTGAGTCACAGTCAAGCTGTGTCCTCTTGGCATATGTGTCCATCCTCTAGTGGGACTCTAAGCTGACAGCTTCCTCCATTCAGCGCCCAGGTGAGAGGGCTTACCCATCTGCATATTCATGACTGTGAAATAGACACAGTCACCATGGAGACAACATGCTGATGTGGACACAGACTGCCGAGGACTTTTGATACAATCTTTCTGACAGGCATAATCAAGTCTACAGCCAAAACATAGCCAAATATAGAATCTGCTTCATAATGTATTCATTAATGCTTCCATTCAAACTCTTTATCCAAGCACAATGAGAGACAAAACAGTTCACAATCTGCATAATAATAATAATAATAATAATAATAATAATAATAATAAAACACATCAGTACAGTAAGAAGTCCAAGTGTCAAACTTTTGCTGATTACAAAGTACACCACTGCAGTTTCTAATCTGAAAACAAGTGTTTTTCAAGCTTTCCTCAGATCATAGTGAAAAATAATCATCTGACATTGGAAGTTATTTAATTGCTGATGCTGAAATAATTAACATACTAAAAAAACACCTCACAAGGAGTTTAATCTTAAAAACACTTTGCTTGCCATTATTAAGAGAAGCTCAGCCATTCAGATGGAGATTCTCAAGTTTCAGCACCATGGAAAGCTCATTCTGATGGATTCACAGCACATGTGTTTAACAAATAATTCAAGAAATAAACAGACATACCATGTTGACCTCAGACACCATGTCTATGCTCGCCACATCAATACTCATGCCAACTGCAACCGGTGCACCTTGAGAATTGAGAAGAAAAACTTCATTCTTAAGTTCACTGATTGCATTTAATTATTTTATATCAATCTTAGAAAACAACCTTTAAAGAAAGAAATAATAAAGTGACCAACATACCTCCAAAATCTGGTCGTAGACGAATATCATAGCCTTTCAAAAGCTTGTCTACTGTCTCTTTGACAAAAGACATGTTTCCTGGTTCATTGGCGCTAAAAAAGAAAGAAAAAAAGAGGGTTATTCCATCATAACAGAGCTTAGGAGGTCTACGCTCCCGCGCCATGGTCTCCAGCAGCTCTTCTTACCTTTGAGCACAGCACATCACTGCCACAATTACCGGTAATGAAAGAACTCCAAACAGCCTTCGTTTCTGTATTCCAAACATTCCTTATACTCTTTCAGACAAGGAACTGAGCGACAAAACGGACGTTGTAAGGTTTTCTTGCTTAGGTAACAGGTTACGTTATTCCATCAGTGTGTCTTTGCTAAAGAACTCCAATTACTGTCAAGCACGCGTAAACAAATCGCCGCGATCCGGGTTTTCGCTCTCTTGCGGAGACTGCGTTTTTTGGTTAGGTGCTCGGGGAATACAATGCATTTTGCCCAAGACACTACCGGAGCTTGCAGCAGGGGAGTCGGTGTTTGGGGCTCAGCCAGATCTCCATCCTTCGGTTTTGACGCCCGTAGCTGTGCTGTCCCGAATCTACACCCTCAGTTGAAGTCTCAGTCTTACGCCTCTTTTTGTGTCAGCTGTAAGCAAAGGAAGCACTTGCGAGTCATTTGGGTAAACTGACTTATTTTGCGCGCGCTCCCAACAAAATATGCCTGCTATCAGATGTTCGCACGTGAGAGTTTGAAACTGAAACTGAAAGCTATTGATTTCGTCTGATGACCGAGCCGACCGGAGTGTGATGAAATTGGTATGAGAGCATGAGGACTTCACTATAAGTAAAGTAGTCACGTGACATTCCACAAGCTTCGGCGCGAACGCAGCTGGCGTGAAGCGCGCGGTCTGTCGACAAAAACTCATCCTACATGTTAATTCAAACAAGAATTTAACACAAGCAGAGTTAGTTATATAGCAGAGAGAATGTACGCGAGAAAAAAGTTGAAGTGGACAACTGGAGGGGTTTCCAACTCTTTTTAACTCTTCCTTCGCGGGGAGCAATACAACGGTGAGTATTGTAGGCTTTGGATTCATAAAAGCTCATGTATTTCATCATTGCTGATGGTGGGTGCATATTTAACATCTCGGTCAGAAGAAATCAACCTACAACAACTTAACAATTCCCTGAAGATAAGAATTGATTCACTATGTGTGTTGTATATGTATTCTTGATGTTTAAATGCAGGAGTGCACGGTTAACTGTATGTTAATTGCTTGGAAACAGAAATTCAAAACCACACACTGGCAGAATCAAAGAAAATGGAAAATTTTAGCTCATGTTAGTTAACATTTATACTGTCATTTTAATGCAGCAACTACATTTAGAGTATACAGTACACATACATAAATATGTTACACTGAATAAATCATTGAAAGAATGAATGGATGAATGAATGAAGTATTATTTCACCCATAATGTTTTGACATTTTTTTTTCATCAAACTTTGTACACATGATGCCCTTTTTGTCATCTGAAGAGTTTATTAAAGAGTTAATACAGCACCAGGAATTTCTGTATCATCCACAGTACATGAAAATTATGTTGAAATGTGTTTAGCAACACTGTGAATATAAGAAAACCAGGTATTTAAGGTATTTATAATTTTCTTAAGGATATATATATATATATATAGGGCGAGGCAGTGGCGCAGTAGGTAGTGCTGTCGCCTCACAGCAAGAAGGTTGCTGGGTCGCTGGTTCAAACCTCGGCTCAGTTGGCGTTTCTGTGTGGAGTTTGCATGTTCTCCCTGCCTTCGCGTGGGTTTCCTCCGGGTGCTCAGGTTTCCCCCACAGTCCAAAGACATGCAGTACAGATGAATTGGGTAGGCTAAATTGTCCGTTGTGTGTGTGTGAATGTGTGTGTGGATGTTTCCCAGAGATGGGTTGTGGCTGGAGGGGCATCTGCTGCATGGAAACTTGCTGGATAAGTTGGCGCTTCATTTCGCTGTGGCGACCCCGGATTGATGGAAGGACTAAGCCGACAAGAAAATGAATGAATGAATGAATATATATATATATATATATATATATATATATGTGTGTGTGTGTGTGTGTGTGTGTGTGTGTGTTTAAGGTGTGCTAAAACATTCTACAAAAATCTACTATAACAACTGCAGCTACTAAGCTAACTGTTCTCCATTTGAGTGTTTCAGACACGTAATCTCCCCCTCTCTCCTTCTGAGAATAAAATTTCAGCTGCACATACTGTATCTACAACAAGTTATGGTGGTATCAAATAGCAGTGCTTCAGGATTTTATTAGAACATTAGATTTATTAGAGTAAGGCCTTTACTGTACCTTTGCATCTGCATGCACACTTAATAAACAGAACATCACCTTATGGAGTGGAAGAAGAATAATGGTACCTCATTGATACCTTCTGTGATATAATCAATATGATATATTACTCGTTCTCAGTTCTTCTCTCCATCAGTAGATATTAAGGCTCCTCCACTGAGCCTCTAGACAATTTTATTATACATAATCAGATTTTCAGTGAGGCTTGACGGTCTGCTGGAGATTAAGCAAAAGTGTAATGGCTTCTACCAAGCTTTAAACACTCATTAAGCTAATCCTGTTAATTTGAACTGTGTTTAAAGAACTGGTCCCAGTTGTTCTGATGGAATGGAAGGGTTGTTTACGGGAGCTGCTGGTGGATTTGACATGGTCAATGGCTGAAGTTAGTGGCCTTCTTAAATCCCTCACGCTGCATTAAGACTGCAATATGCGGACTGATGCCGCCTTAATGCTTTTAGAAGCAGACGCCGGATGTAGAGCAATGTGGCTGAGCTTCCTGGTACTGTTTCAGAAGCTTTATTCCATAGAGGCAAAGGGTGAGACTCCACTAAGATGCTATTGGATGCTTCTTACTTCACAGTACGTCCTCAAGTACATATTACTATTCTGTTCTAGTACGGCAATATTTAGCTATTGATTTGGCACCTGAAAAAGTGTTAGGACTATATCAAGTGTATAATGATAGCCTTCCTCATTTATTAATTGTTAGCAAATGTTCTTAAATCTATTTTAGGGCAGCTGATCCAGACTCCTGTCTGTACCAGGGTTAGATTTCAGTTCACTTGAGTTAAATTGAATTTGAACAGAGTTAGCAAAATCAATCCATAATTGCCACTAAAATTGAATGTAAAGAAAAAAATATTGAAATGATCTGAAATTATGAGACAGCCACATACCAAAACATTCTAATAAACAAAGCTTTAAAAAAGCTTCTTAAAAAGTTTATGCAGACATCGAATGCTGGATCTGCAAGCCTTTGTTGTTAGACAAATAAATAGATGGATGAATTAACTGAAATAAAATTGAAATAAAACCAGGATAGTAATTAGAATTTTGTAGTTCAAAGCTTATAAAAGCTTCGTTAAAAGTTTATGCAGATATCAAATGCTGGATTTGCAAGCCTTCTTTTATATATTAAAATATGTAACAATGTTTTATTTATTGTTTTACAGTTGTTTAATGTAATGTTAAAGATTAAATAGAATCAACTCAAATTGTAAGGGATCATCATGTGTTTTCTATTGCTTGCAAGATAATATTAGTTTTAAATCTGAAAAAAGTTCAATTAAATGTTGGTTATTTGCCAAGTTAAATCAATATCAGGTTTAATCTCTTATACATAACTTAAACATTTTAAACTTATTTTTATAAGTAGCGAAAATATTTTGCTATATTTATTTTACAGCCCTTTTTTTTTTTTTTACCAAATTTGTTGTTAATCATAGATGGATGAATTGACTGAAATAAAACTGAAATAAAACCGGGATAGTAATTTGAATTTTGTTGTTCAAAGCTTCTTTTAAAGTTTATGCAGACATCAAATGCTAGATTTGCACGCCTTGTTTTATATAAAGAATATGTAAAGATGTTTTATTTGTCATTTTACAGTAGTTTATTGTTAAGTTAAATGACTTGTGAAGTTAAACATATTCAATTTAAATTGTAAGGGATCCTCATGTTTTTTCTAATATCGTTATTTTCTAAAGAAAATACTATTACAGTTTTAAACCTAAAAATAATTCAGCTAATTCAATGTGTTTTTTGCCAAGTTGAATCAATATCAGGTTTAAACTTTTATATATAACTTAAATATTTTAAACTTATTTTTATAAGTATCAAAAAATGTTGCTATATTTATTTTACAGGCTTTTTTATTCACCAAGTTTGTTGTTAGACATAAAAATACATGGATGAATTGACTGAAATAAAATTAAAATAAAACCAGTAAAGTAATTTGAATTTTGTAGTTCATCATATTTATTTAATTTAAGTTTTGCCTCATAAGTTCACTGACCTGAAGTCAAATCTGAATATTAAAATCATGAACTACTTTTCACCTTTAAACCTCAAGGTTAGCATGAATAGATTAATAGAAAGTATTCATTAATGAAAAAAAATCTTCATGGGATTTTTTGTAGCTGTACGTATAGCGAACCATTTCTATGCTCCTTGCAGCATAAACATTTCTAAAGAACGGCTACTATAAGAAGAGAGATGGAAAGCGAGGGTAGCTCTGAACAGCACTTACCCACACACACCCACATCCCATCATCCAAACAAAGCACTCCACTCACACATCATCTGCAAATGCAAAGGCTCCTCAGTGTGTGGGCTGAGCAAATGGCACCAAGTCACGGTCACACACCAAGCCAAATGCTGTTAAAGCCTTTAAAGTTACACTAGTCAAACAGGCTGTGGGAGGACTGGAACCTTTAACTATGATCCCTGTCTCCATCTTCCAAATGACCAGTGTCCTCTGACCTCCCTAATTGTGAGGTATAAGGCCGCGTCCACAAGTTTCGCCCACCAGACTATCAAAGCGATTATCTGATCTACTGTAGAGGTGAGGTAGTATTACTATAAGGGGGAATGAAATCATGATTATACTGGCTTCCACTGAAAGGGTTTTTCCTTCCATTTGTGTCAAATCGCAGTTGCAGAAGACCTCTTTTCTCCACACGCCCCCGCCACCCCCTCCAGATTAAATGGACACAGATAAATAGATCCTCTGGATGGAGTGAATATTGCACTGTGCTGAATGAATAATGCATGTACGTGGCTGACATTGCGAGTCTGATTTGTTTTAGATTGAGACAGAACTCTACAAAATCACTCGTAATACCCAACGAAGGATTCAGACCCCTGCGATACTATGGAAACAGTTTGGAGATACAATCTTTAGTAGAAAGTAACACTAAAAATAACTTGTCATTCAAGCAAAGATTAGTGAAAGAAGAACATTATTGATTATTTCTTGAGACATTACATTTTGGTGTCCACATTTAATTTAGTTTGCAGAAGTGATTGAATATGATTGATTGTGATATGAACATAATTTTGCCAGGGCATTTGAATAGCTCTATTTGGAAATATTTCATTTATTTAGATTGACTTGGGGTGACCTTTTTCTATGCCGTGCATAAAATAAGACATCATAAATTACAAGCAAATATATATATATATATATATATATATATATATATATATATATATATATATATATATATATATATATATATATATATATATAAAACCTAATAAAAAGCTAAATTAAAAGTTAAATAAATAGTGCTCCGTGTGTTTTTTTGGAAGTCTAAGACTATTGAAATATAGAAATTGAACAACCAAATATAAGATAAAATGGTTATTGTTTTATAAATAATTTTATACAAAAATTTATTCATTCATTTTCTTTTCAGCTTAGTTCCTTTATTAATCAGGGGACACAGCAGAATGGCTTAAACTTAACCAGCATATGCTTTACGCAGCGAATGCCCTTTTAGCCACAACCCTGCACTGTGAAACACCCATACACTCTTGCATTCACACACATACACTAAACCGGAGCACCCGGAGGAAACTCGTGCGAACATGGGGAGAACATGCAAGCTCTACAACACAATCTCACGGTAATTTGTAACTTTTTCTGTTAGTGGCTATTTCGTACGAATTCGTACAATCTAATTCGTTCATTTAAGTACGATTTACTCATCCCCCAATGACGGTTGTGTTTAGGGGTGGGTTTAGGTGCCACGCCTCCTTTTTAAAATCAAACAATCCCGTACGACTGAACTCGTAGGAATTTACGAATAAGCCTCTAAACTGGCAAACGTAAAATACTTACGTTTTCTCATGAGATCAGGCTGAAGCTCTACACAGAAATGCCAACTGACTCAGCCGGGGCTCGAATCAGCGACCTTCTTACCAGTGCTACCCACTGCGCCACCGTGTCGCCCTTTATACAATAATATAAAATAATGTCTTTATTCTTTAATGTTTAATAAATAATAAAATCTTGCTATGTGATTATTGCAGATACACACATTGTGATATCATTACTCAAACGATATATTGTTCAGCTGTAGCTCACTGTGTTCTCACTGCAAGAAGGTCGCTGGTGTGGGTCCCAGTTGGGCCAGGTGACCTTTCTGTGTGAAGTTTGCATGTTCACCCCAGGGGCTTACCCCACAGTCCAAAGACATATAACATAGAACAATTGGATAAACTAAATTGGCCATAGTGTGTGAGTGTGTGTGTGTAAATAAGGTGTTTCCCAGTACTGGGGGCTCAAGAGTAAGTGTACTCTCAGGGTTGGGTTGTGGCTGGAAGGTTATCTGCTGCATAAAACATATGCCAGAGTAATTGGCAGTTCATTCTGCTGTGGCGACCCCTGATAATATTTAGGGACTTAGCCAAAGGAAAGTGAGTGAGTTGGTGAAAATGTATTATCTGAAAAGATTGGTTAAATAAAGTTGCATCACCATTCAACACAACATCTATTTATCCAAACATGAAAATATGTACTGTGCTATTTATTCTGAGCCGTGCCTATTAAATATATAAAAAATAAAAAGTGATCAAGCAAAATAGTATTATTTTTAAAACTGATTATATTGAAGTGTATAAAGTACAAAGTATATAGTATAAAGTGTATAAAACAACATCCTCATGCACCTCATACACACTTACCTTGTGTCATAAATTGCAAACAGCTTTTTATTTCCATCCACAGCATTCCTGCAAAACAGAAAAGGAAGTGATGTTACTATTCCCATGCCACAATTCTAATTTTAGAAAGAACACATTCTGTAAACAAGTGTGATGTTTCTGATTATTTGTACTAAAAAGTAGTAGCAAATAACTCATAATGTTTTTAGTTCAGACATGCTGTTTTTGTGCAGTTCTGGTAATCTCAGTTATTCAAGCTCCGCTTAACATGCACACACACACATACACAACAACAACAACTAGATCAGGTTTATCAGATGTTCACAGGACACAGGTGGACTGTAGAAGAAACAGCTGCTCTTCGTATGAAAATCTCTGAAGTGCACATCAACCGAGTCAATCAGTACACAGACAAAAGCATTTTAAAAATAAATCAATCCCCAAAACACAATATCACATTATGCCTGTGTCTAATGAATTTCCAAGCATTACATTTATGCATTTATCAGACACATTTATCCAAACCAGCTTACGGTGCATTGAATGTATACTTTTTTATCAGTTCTTACTTTCAATGGAAGTCAAATCCACAATCCATCACTAGCGCACTCTCGCTCTGCTGTTTAAAAGATACAGGAGGAAACAATCTTTAAGAACGTAGAAATAAAATCTTGTCCTAACGGATGCATTTTTTTTTCAGAATAGCACTGTGACCATTAAAGCCAACCCAAAGCAGATGTTTAATTTACTAAGTTAAATCAAAGACTTTCTTCGGGTCTCTTGCTGTTACACCTTCAGCGAGCCGTTAGTACACTGTTAGTGAGTGTATTTAACTGGGATTATTTAATGCAGATTCTTGTTACAGATTAAATCTTAATCATTTAAACAAGAATAGCATTGTGCCACATTTTTCACGCTTCTTTTTTTCTGACATTGCAGCAATTTTCCCTGTTGTCTTGTCACCTCAAATCAGAACAATGCGTGTTGTTATAAAAGAAACTAGTTCAATAAGTTCTCCCCACTTACAGCATGCACAACATAAAAAAAAAACTGGAGCAGGTAGAGCTTTCCTTTATCGACTGAGGCACTGCAGTGATAGTCAGCATCAGAAAAAAAATGGGATGAGAGTTCCCTCTGATGGTTGTCCTCATTACTACTAGAGCCCACTCTGTTACTCATAAACCAATTCCCAACTCTACTATGTGAAACCATTTTTATCTCTACCAAATCAATATCAGGCTATGCGTCTTTGACTGACACCTTGATGCTTTGATATAGTAGACCTCAAATTAATTTAGCCTCAGGGCGATTCTTTTATACACAACCCCGTTTTAATTGGGAGAAAGGGATAGTCTTAAAGCATAAATATCCCCAGTGGAGATATATAATGGTCGCGTGAAGAGGAATCCAGTCTTCATTAAACAGCTTGGTGCAGGGGGGCTGCCTCAGGGTAAACGCTCGCGCGCAAAATGCCTAGTAAGCAGAATTGTTGGGAAATCCACTCATTTTCAAGCGTCCGCGCTTGTGCCGCACGCAGGCGCCAGTTTAATCGCGCTTTTCTCTGAATAAGCTCAAACAAGATAAGTTTGGAACCCAAGCGGCCGCTCAAATTTCCCTCGGGGGGTAATTATGCAGCGCGCGGAGGTGACGTCCTATTACTTTGGTCCCAAACACGAACAAATGCCACTGGAGTGACAGTCTGGCGATAGTCGGGAGAGCATCGGACGTCCAAACCGGCGACCCGGTAAGCGGAGAATCCTGTTAAACTCTGTAACGCTTCAACGGTTGCGCAGATAAGCGTTGAGATGTCGTACACTAGACTACCACAGAGAGAAGAAGGGGGAAAAGTAGCCTAATGGTCTGTTAAAGGGGATGTGTTGGCTAGAGGGAGAATAGGGGAAGAGAGAAAACAAAGACTGTTTTAAGGGCTGTCTGGTTACTGTCGTTCAATTGGATTTAGGAGTGATGAAGAGGTCTTTGGGATGCGAGGCAAAGGAAGGGATGCTCTGCAGCGGCTGCTCAGTCACTGGATCGTGAAAGAGGACGGAACAATGAGCCTGTATGGTTAAGACTGGATATTTCTGAAGAAGAAGAACAACGCGTCGCACTACTGCTGTAAGCTGAACGTTGCGGGATTTTGCTCACTGCTTCAAAAGGAATTCGTTGCAGTTGTTCAACGTGGATCCACTGCACCATTCAGGTATTTAAGGTAAGATACGAGGCTTTCCACTATCTCCGCTCAACTCTGCTTTGTAGGAGTCACTATAAATGTTCGACAAGTTTAGACGCCAGAGGCTGTTAAAACTGAGCATTACAGCTGCTGCAAACTCAGCGCAGCTCCAGCTTTTACACACGATCGTGTTGCAAGAAATCTTATCAACTGGCATTCAAGGTTTATGCACTAAATCTAAATCATATGCACTAATTGCAAAAAAAAAAAAAAAAAAAAAAAAAAAATTAAACAACTTGTTTTAAATAATATTGTAATAAAATTATAAAAATAAATAATAATCAATTATTAAGTGTTATAATTATGAAGATAATGAAAACTTGTCCTAATTTGACCTGTAATGAATACAATCATATATAATCAAGAATGAATGACTTCTTATGCTGGACTCTTTACAGGTATGGGATATGGACCACACTGCAGCGGCAAAATGAGAAGTCTGTGGGTTGGTGTTTTGTTCATGACTTTGACCTGCCATCTGAGGTACATGTTTAACTTAACTTTCTATTTCATGCCGCATATTTTATTCTAGTTAATTGCAGCAATCAATTAATGTAAGACATTGATATGTCTAAAATAGATTCATATCTTAATGACCATTTTATCATTGAGCTCATGGCTGAAACGCCTAATGGACGAGAGATAATACTTGTAGTTATTAATTATCTCTGTGGTCTTGCTCATCAGCCTCTCCCAGTCAACTACAGGGACCCCTAAAGAGTCAGAGCTCAATGATAACATCACAGTATTCACACGAATCCTTGACGGATTGCTGGATGGCTATGATAACAGACTTCGACCTGGGCTTGGAGGTAAACTCTGCATAGATACCATTTTCCACTAAAAAAAAGAGAGAAAACCTTCACATTTGTCAAGATCGTGCTTCAGTGAAAGGTGTTTTTTTTCTTTGTGTATTATAGGGCTTTGATGCTTGGCATTGACCTGGTAGTTATTGTGAAAAGAGGTGTTCAGATAAAGGCAGATGCTTTTTTGAAACACACAGAACGCCTGCACATTCCATTCGTGACAGCGGCATGAAGGACTTTTCATTAAAAAAGATAGAGAGAGAGGGAGAGATGCTGCTTCTTTTCAATTTACTAACTGGGAGGAAAGTACATAGAGGAGGGGAAAAAATCTATGTTTTCATACAGGAGATATTTGCACAGAGCAGAAGCGAAAGCTGAAATTGCCTGGTCCTCTGTAAAAAAAATCAAACAGCCACTATTTCCTGGCACTCTCAATTACAGTGTTCTTGCCAGAGACAGAGGTAGAGAGAGAGAGAGAGAGAGAGAGAGAGAGAGAGGATATGAATGTAGCCGCTGACCTTGAGAAAGCTATCGTTCTTTACCAAAGGTGCAGGTTCATTGTTCTCAGAGGTCGAAAGAATGGCATCGTGGCAGAGACAGAGAATAAACACAGGCTGCTCTGTTTCCACGTGAGAAAGAGTTCAAGGGAGCACAGCTCAAAACTGTAGCAGCAGCAGCAGCATGAAGGCAATTGACAAATAATGGCATTGGACTTGATTTAGTACTTTGAGAAGGAAAGTGCATGCAGGCGACTGAAATTAATTACTTTTCATTTAAAGTAAATGCAACTAACGTTTACAAAAAAGTGGACAAATCAAAGCATACTTTAGTGGAAATTCACAGATTTAATATAATATACAGACATTGTAAATAAACATTATTCATCTCTATGTATTTATATGTTCATTGAAATTTGCAAAGAAAAAGCAAACATTGTTGTGCATTTGGATCATAAAATGAAAATGACAACTGGTCAAAATAAAAAAGACATGTATATATAATGATTTAATCATGTATTTATGTAATTATGTAAGAATTTGCATAATATATAAAATATAAAATATTAACTGTGGTTTTTAATCACAACAATGAAGTCAATTCTTTCTTTCTTTCTTTCTTTCTTTCTTTCTTTCTTTCTTTCTTTCTTTCTTTCTTTTTTTTTTCTTTCTTTCTTTCTTTCTTTCTTTCTTTCTTTCTTTCTTTCTTTCTTTCTTTCTTTCTTTCTTTCTTTCTTTTGGATTTTTAAATGTTTTAAAGCTTCTCTTCCTCACCAAGGCTGCATTTATTTAATAAAAAATTCAGTACAAATTGTAAAGTTGTGTAATGTTGATGCACTAAAACATAACTGTTGAAAAGTAGTTTTTCATTTAATTTAATAATTTATTCCATTGTTTTTAAAAATTAATTTTCAGCTTTATTACTCCAGTCTTCAGGGTCACACGATCCTTCAGAAACCACTCTAATATTAGTTATTATTAATATTATTATTATTATTATTATTATTATTATTATTATTATTATTATTATTATTATTATTATTATTATCATCATCTTATTAATGGTAATAATAATAAAAACAATTATGACTGGACTAATAATTTTATTTGAGAACACATACAATATGTAATAAATAAATATTTAATAAATAATTATTGAACAGTTTGACAACTTTTTATTTAATTAAATAAAGGCTGCCTTGATAAACTGAATAATTTTCTTTAAAAAAAAATGCAAAAAAAAAAAAAAACTTTGACCGGTGTATATATTGTATAAAAAAAAAATGTGTTTTTGCTTCATAGAGAAAGTGACAGAAATCAAGACCAACATCTTTGTCACCAGCTTTGGACCAGTGTCAGATACTGAGATGGTAAGTGTTTAAATCATATCCTTTCTTAATGAAGAAACACCATTCATGTACTTAACATATGGAAATTCCCAACCGAGATCCCTTTTTATTCCCTTCATTTAATCCCACCTCCATTTGTAAAATGACCTCACCTCTGCATCGTTTAATGAAATTCAGAATGTAATGT